TATTTTAAGTAATTACCACTAATTTTAATATCAAGATAAACTTGCACAATTTTATTTTATTCATGAATCTTGCACATTTTTTATACCGAGCTTTCACATATTAGTCGAAAAATGAATTCTACCTCAATGACAATCAATATTTCAAAATATTGTATATTATAATAAAACGAATCTCTAATTTATTAAACCACTTAATCGGAAGTCCCAAAATAGCTAGAAAGCCTAAAATGCTTTAAAAAGGGAAAATAATAATTTTTTTTTTTAAATATATACACACACACACACACAAAAAGTTTAAAGAAGATAAACAATTGGGGTTCAAAATGCAAATAGTCCCAAAGTAGAAGACCTCGAGAAGAAAAATACCTGGTTCAAAAATGTAAATACGTAGAAATCTGAGGGGCACTTAAGTCTTTTGTTCTAACTGACTCGTGCCGTTCAGTCTCAAATTCCGTTTCTTCTCTTTGATTTCTGAGTCGATAAAGCTAATAATTTATTTGATGGTTGAAATGAAATTATATACTGCTTTCTTGCAAATGAAATCAGATACTGGCTTATTGTAATTGATTTTAATATATTTTCATGTATATCTTGACAAGTCGGTTTGTAAAATATCAGTGGCAAGTCGATTTAATCAAAATTGAGAAGTCAACAATTATGGTTATCTCACTGTAGAAACATCAGAACCAAACCAGTTAAGTGTGAAATGGAAGGTGCAAAAATGAACAGTGTCAAAAGAGGGATAAAATGAGAAGATGAAATACGTCTCAAATGAAAAGTGAACGGAGGGATTCCATCTTTAATAGAAGAGGGATAAACAGGTGGGCTTAAATTGCAAACACTAACAAAGTTGAAGACCTAAAGAAGGAAATTATCCGGTTCAAAAAAGTAAATACGGGGAAACCCGAGGGGCACATAAGTCAAACTAGAGCGCTTAATTCCTCTCCACTTAGTAACGCACTTGTGTCTCGCTTCCTTGTTCGAAAGCCCCGTGCAATACTTCCCCAATTCACACACACACACACACACACACTACAACACGCAGAAAACGCGCAGTGTATGGTTCTTACACATAGTTCCCTCATCTTGTAATTCTGAGAAAATTCCGTGAAATTAGTTTCAATGGCTGAAAAGCTGCAGGAGCAGCTGAAAGAGCTCGGATCGAAGCTCGACATCTGTCCTGATTCGAAAGACGTTCTTATGAAGCTTTTGAAGGTGAAACTGTTTTTAGTTATCTTTATTTTGGATAAATTTTTGTTGCAACCTAATTTTGAGTTGTAACATTGAAATTTCGCGCTCTTGGAAGTTCATTGACAGATGCATGCTTAAAAATTAGCGAGATTTTTGACTTTGGGAGGAGCGGGGATGATTAGGGTTGAGTTTGTGTTCTCTTTAGGAGTTCCGAGTGTTATGTTTGGGGTCAGATAAGCTGAAAATTCGAGTCTTTTTTCCTTTAGTCCTACTACTTAGGTTTTTTTTTCCTTTCTTTCTTTCTTTTTTTTTAATAGTAGAGAACGTTCGGAAAAACATTTATCTTTTTGGAGGTTTATTTCCCTTTTTGCCTCCCAACAGCTTATTGTGAAGATTGATGAAATTTCTAGTTGTATACTTGTTTGTAAAGGAAATTATCTGTTTTTGCAGTTCTTGCTTTACTCTTGAAACATTTTGAATATTGTGCTAAAGAGTTTCATCCAATTTTTTTGGGAATGAGGCTTAGTTTGTGGTGGTTTGTATATACATATACGCACATGTTGTAGACATGGAAAAATGTTCATACTCATAAATATAAATGTTGTTGTGTAGCATATAATGGGTTTCGAGATTTACTCTAATTTTCTTTCCCTTCAACCTATCTATGTTGTTCATATACCCATATTTGTTTGACTCCTTGTCAGTAAAATTTATTAACCTGTACTCTAGATGTCACCACACAAATCTGGCAACTAGAAAAATCATATTTTGTTGTTTTTCTCACTGAAGTTGTTTTACTTGCTGTTTGGCAACTAAAAAGGACTTCACACACCTTTCACTCAGGAATCAGTTCATCAATTTTGTCTACGAATTCTTATCTACCATCTGGGTTTAAAAATATATGGGCTTCAGATCATAATCAGTTATAATCTTTGATTCTTTAGGGTGAATTTCTTGCACAAAACAAAATCTATGCTTTAAATTTTAACTATCGCTCAACTATAATGGAAACTTGGTCTTGGATTTCTTTTAAAACCACCTTAGTCAAGTTGCTAGGCTTTCAACTGTTTGCATCATAGTAATACCGAATGCCTACCCCACATGCAGCAAGCAGCAGGATGCCTTTCTGATTTAGACCAGTTACCGCTGAAATCCGTAGTTGAGTCCATGCAGTCTTTTGTAAATGCAATTGCTAAGCCAGAACTTCTAAAGCATCAAGATCCGGAGGTCAAGCTTTTCGTCGCTGCTTGTATCTGTGAAATAACTCGCATTACTGCACCTGAGGCTCCTTATGACGATGATGTTTTAAAGGTACCTTTTCCTTCTGAAGTGTAAAAGGTGTCTAACGGAGGTCACTTATTGGGGTGTGTACTTGGTTAACTGCTATGACATTTTCTTTTATTTGCGTCCTAGTTAATTGCTTTCTGTTCTATTCCAGGATATCTTTCAGTTGATTGCAAGTACTTTCAGTGGCTTAAGTGATACGAATAGCCCATCTTTTGGAAGGAGAGTTGTTATTCTGGAAACTGTGGCTAGATACAGATCATGTGTTGTGATGCTGGATCTTGAATGTGATGATCTCATAAATGAAATGTTTAGCACTTTTTTAACTGTTGCAAGGTACGGCTTTTTCATATCAAGTTCTTGTCAGTCAAGTCATAAAAAAAGTTTATACACATAGAAGATATAATACTGTTGCAGAGGCCATATATGTTCTATTGCTTAGATTCTTTCATTTTTTCTGCTTGAGTGAGACACTGTGTTGTATCCAATGGTTGTTTACTTGTTTATTACTGATGGATTTTCCATATCCATTGTTAGTTTTGAATTTCGCCCTTTGGATGTTTAACATTGAGTCATAAGAACGAGGGATCCGCATTCTTTTTTATTTTTGCCTATTACTTCTTCCCACATGCTGGTTTATTTCCGTGTCATCAGGGGAAGTCTTATTTATTAAGCTTTTAATCTTGTATTTTGTGTCAATATATTTATATTTTATTTTTGTCTCCAAACACGAAGACATGATAAATAAGTAAAGTTTACACCCATCTGGAAGCACACTTCCATGGTGAATCCATTTGTCTGTTTGTTATGAGCTGCATAATATAAGTTATTTTATCTTGAGATATTTAGTATGGGTGTATTGGACGTGGGATTTATACATATGACGGGGGTGTGGGTTGTGTTGTGTTGGGACAGTTAGATTGATTACAACACTGCTTAAATTGAACTCCAATAAACGTTCCTGAGATTTTTGATTTCCTTTGCTTGGACCAAGTATGCAGACCATTGTTCAAAGCTGCTGTGTCCATAGACTAAGCCATTTTTCCATATTGGTCGAGACTGTTTTAGCCAATATGCAGGTTCTGCTTTGCATACGTGCGTAAAATTCCTAAAATATACCAAAAAGCAAAAAACTGTAAGAAACACCTGGTTTTATGTGAATAAGCCAAATAAACCATTATGCCACGTGTTAAATAAACAGGACCATCTTGGATTTATCGAACTTTGTGATTGAACCTTGAAAAGGTAATTTGGAAACTAGTCCAATGCAATCCCAATGTTCGTCAAGTTCTAGAAAAAATAGACCATCATTTGAACAATTATTTCTACTTGTTTGTTCTTGTTGTCATGTGAGAAATATGCATTTTGTTAAAAAGCTAAAAGAAAATCTAACCAAAAAGCATGCTATGAAAAGGATGCGGCTTCTCTCTGACCTGTGTTATTGTGTATCCATTTATTTCTATAAACATTGCTGTAAACAATAAATATACATATAGCCATATAGGAATTGTGTCACCCATTCAAGTGCCGTAAATTTTTTTATTTGTATTTTTTTCTCCTTTTGCGCCATGATAACCTGTGCACCACTATATCTAGTGACTTTTCTAATTCAGTGCGAGAAAATATATGCCAAAATTCTCTGATTACTGCATGTTGGATCATGTGGTCCACCATTTTCTCTCAACTCTTGCACACGTAACACCTTTGTAGAAACCTGTTATCTTCCAAGATAGAACTAACAATCAAGTTGACTTCTATTGTCATTGCCCAGACAAAAAAGGTTGCCTCCCTTTGAGATTTTGATTTGGATACGTTACTGGGGGTGATCAATGCAAATAAATGATGACTTCATTTTTATATGGACATCTAGTGATAGAGACACGAACATTTATGTTCACATAATGTGATGAACAACAAATTCCCATTTGTGCAGAGATGAGCATCCTGAAAATGTTTCGACTTCGATGCAAACAATCATGGAGGTTGTTTTAGAAGAAAGCGAGGACATACAGGAGAATCTTTTACTGATTTTATTGTCTGTTTTGGGTCGCAATAAGAAGGTATAGTATCATCATTTGTTGGTTCAATGTTCAAAGTTATCTTCCTGCCCTTCCTATTGAATTTTGGAATTTTTGTTGCTAGGATGTATCGACAGCTGCAAGGAGGCTTGCTATGAATGTGATAGAGCATTGTGCTGGAAAACTGGAACCTGGCATAAAGCAGTTTCTTATATCATCAATGACAGGAGACAGAGGGTCTATGAAGTGTCAGATTGACTACCATGAAGTACTTTATGACATCTATCATTGTGCCCCTAAAATCTTATCAGGAGTTGTTCCTTACCTTACTGGAGAACTACTGGTAATCATACAATTTATCTGTCTTGTCCTAGATTTAAAAGTATCCACAGCTGTTCCTATTCTCCGATTAAGGCACCAGCTAATCATGTTATTTAAAGGGAGAAAATGGTTTCATGAACATTAAAATTTGAGAACCATAATTCATTTGTTTGAGGGTTACAATATAAAAGCCATGTCATAATGCATTAAGAGGTCCTTTTTGCCATGTTCAGCTTCTGCCTGTGTGGACAAATTGGTGATTTTAAACTGATTTTGTAATACATGCACAAGAAAAATGTCAGTGTCAACCTTTTCATATTTAAATTTGTTGGAATGTTGCTCAGTTACAAATTTCGGTATTGACAGACTGATCAGTTGGACATTCGTTTAAAAGCGGTGAGCTTAGTGGGAGACCTTTTTGCTTCACGGGGATCTGATATCTCTGAATCATTCCAGCCGATCTTTTTGGAGTTTTTAAAAAGATTAACTGATAGAACAGTGGAGGTTAGAATGTCTGTCCTTGAGCGCATGAAAATTTGTCTTCTGGCAGATCCTTTCAGAGCTGAAGCTCTTCAAATGATATGTAAGGACTTTTTAGATTGTTACGTTTTGTAGTACCTTCCCTGCCTTTTCTTCTGAAGTTTTCTAAAATTTTTCTAGCTGCACTATGTGACCGACTGCTGGACTATGATGATGTCGTCCGCAAACAAGTTGTTTGTGTGCTTTCTGATGTAGCGTGTCATGCCCTCACATCGATGCCTCTTGGAAATATCAAGTTGATATCTGAACGCCTTCGAGACAAATCTGTAAGTGTAGCAATCTCTGCTTGTGCACCTTTTCGGTTATTTATATTCAGCACATCGTTCGTTAATAGTATGATAACTGTTTTCTGCATATATCCAGCTTTCTGTTAAAAGTTATACAATGGAGAGGCTAGCCGACATATACCGGTGCTATTGTTTGAACTGTTCGAGCGAATCGACAATGACTTATCAATATGATTGGATTGTTGGGAAGATTTTGAGATGTTTTTATGATAAAGATTTCAGGTATGTTATTGAATTCTTGGTTGTGAACGGATTTACTTAACTGGCTAATGATGGAATATGAACACACATTTTTCAAACATATTACATCTAGGTCCCGAAAAAAGGAAGCTGTTGATTTTTTAACCTAAAGTTTCCTATATGTTTGTTAGATGGTAACTTTTTTTCTTTAAAAGCTAATAGAGAAAATTTAAGACTTGGCTATGAAATTGCCTGACAAATGAATTTTTGACATATAGGATATGTTATTAAAGGTTTGATATTTCCATGCAGATCAGATACTATTGAACGCATTTTATGTCTATCCCTTTTCCCAACTGATTTTTCAGTCAAAGATAAGGTGTCAAATTGGGTTAGGATCTTCTCTGGATTTGACAAAATCGAGGTTAAGGCTCTTGAAAAGATACTAGAGCAGAAGCAAAGGTTTGTTATGATTCTTCTTTTTACCTGTAATAAGTTCTAATATGTTGTTTATAGACGAACTTTTACCGGGTTCAAAACTTATATGGAATCTCTATTCACGGTACAGGTTGCAACAAGAGTTTCTGAAGTACCTTTCCTTCCGTCAATTATCACAGGTTTGCAGTTTTGTACTTTGTATTTCTATATGAGGCAGGAGGAATAATTATTCTGGAACTTTGATTAAATGATCAGTTTTTCTTGAAATGCAGGAAGGTGATGCTATTGAGCTCCAGAAGAAAGTAACGTTTTGTTTCCGTGTCATGTCTCGCTGTTTCACTGATCCTGCAAGGGCAGAGGAGAATTTTCAGATTTTTGACCAGTTAAAAGACACTAATATTTGGAAAAAATTTGCAAGTCTTCTCGACACAAACACTAGCTATCCTCAAGCTTGTAGTTTACGGGTGAGGCATCACTCCAATATCTAAGTCATTCTGTGATTCTCTCTCTTTGTTATTCAGTTTTTCCTGGATGAATTTAAGTTTCAAATGTAGTCAAATTTAACATGATGGTTTCTCAAATATCTTTAATCTTCTGCAGGATGATATATTGAAGATCGTGGGTGAGAAGCATCAGCTCTATGAGTTTTTGAGCATCCTCTCATTGAAGTGCTCTTATCTGATTTTTGGCAAGGAGCATATCAAAGAAATCCTTCTGGAGGCTGATATACAGAAATCAGCTGGAAATTCTGAGTTAATATTGTCGTGCATGACAATACTTGTGGTATAATGTTTACTCTTAGATTGTTTTATATTTACTATATATTGACGGTTAATTGTGTAATGACATCTTGATATGTATACTTCTCTGCATTTCTGTTTGGGTGTAAGACAAGTGGTATTAAGGGGCTTAAATGTTTATGATAATTTGACTTTCTTTTCTTCTATTAATATGAAGTTTCATGCAGTACTAGAAGGTTGTAGCTATTAACTTTCAAGCATGATTGAAGAGCTGGGGATGGCGTATCATGATCATCCGTGAATAAAAAATTAAGCGATACTGCAATTTGCAATGTAATGGCATGTTCACCATCACTGAAACAATGTTGGGTTGACAATTAGGATGGGTCCATCAAGTATCACCAAATATGTGATATATGAACTTCAAATTTCTTGAATAATTCTTCCTCTCAAAAGGATAATTGTTTTAGATTTGCATGATAGTGTTCCTATATCCCTTATTTTTTGGAAATGTTGAAATCCTTTTTCAGATTTTTGTGTGATGAATTTTCAGATTCTTGCACGTTTCAGTCCTCTACTATTAAGTGGAATTGAAGAAGAATTGATACATCTTCTTGAGGACGACAATGAGATAATGAAGGAAGGTGTTTTGCATATTCTTGCAAAGGCTGGAGGAACCATCCGAGAACAGCTGGGAGTTTCATCGAGGTTCAAATATTAAATTTTTGATGCGTTGCTACAAATTTCTTTCTTGTTTTCTTCTTTTTTATGGTTGAAATTCTATATTTTTTACTCGTAGATCGTTAGACCTTATACTTGAGCGGATATGCATTGAGGGTAGCAGGAGGCAGGCCAAGTATGCTGTATATGCCCTGGCATCAATAACAAAAGATGATGGGCTCATGTCTTTGTCTGTTCTCTACAAGGTTTCTCTTTAATGGATTATCATGATTTATTCTCATCAGTAACATCTTGGTTTGCAGTTCTTTCTACATTTCTTTTCCTTTCCTAGTATTTTTTATGCATCTTTGTTGAAATCAGTCATCAACTTTTTTTTGAAACTGACAGAGGCTTGTTGATATGCTTGAGGAGAAGTCCCATTTGCCGGCTGTACTACAATCTCTTGGATGTATAGCACAAACTGCTATGCCAGTCTTTGAAACAAGAGAAAGTGAGGTTGAAGAGTTCATAAAGAAAAACATATTGGAATGCAGCCATGTATGCCTCTTGAAATTCTCCAAGACTTTTGTGATCCATTATTTATCTCTTTCTTTGAAATTATTCCATCTAAATCATGCTTCACTCACAGATGTCAGAAGATGAAGCAAATGAATGTTGGGATGATAGAAGTGAACTTTGTTCATTGAAGGTCTTTCTACCAGATACTTTGTCCTTCATCACTGTAAAAAGAAACCTGTCTTGGATGGCCTTTATGCACTAAATGAGCAATGTTTTTTTTTAATCTGCAGATATATGGGATTAAAGCATTGGTCAAGAGCTATTTACCTGTCAAAGACGCGCATCTTCGTTCTGGGATTGACACTCTTGTTGAAATGCTCAAGAGTATACTGTCTTTCGGAGAAATATCAAGAAACATTCAATCAAGGTAATGTAAGCTTGATGGTGTTTGAAGTGGTGACATCATGTAATTTGTGCTTAAGATTTTGATATTGATGTGGATCTCTTTTGCACATTTCAGTTTATCGGATAAGGCTCATTTGAAGCTTGCTGCAGCAAAAGCTGTCCTTCGTCTATCAAAGCATTGGGAACATAAAATTCCTGTTGATGTGTTTTACCTGACCTTGAGAACTTCTGAGGTACAGTTTACTTGACTCGGAAGTATGTCAGTGATGTCACTGTTCATGGAATAGATTTCTTCATGGCTGTTACTGAGCCTGCTGTTCTTATTCCCTCATCCTTGGGTGCTTGTAGGCTAATTTTCCGGAGGTAAAGAAACTACTTCTCAATAAGGTTCATCAGTATGTAAAGGACCGGATTTTAGACCCAAAGTATGCTTGTGCCTTCATACTTGATATTGATCCTCAGCAGTTGGAGTTTGAAGAGGTATGATGCTTTACTGAGTATAGTTCTATCTTTAGAGAAGTCAGAAGCATGTCTACCTTCATTAAAAGTGGAAAATGTAATGCTTTCTTAGATGGGCTCATCTCATGATTTATGCTCTCCTATATATTTGGCAGAACAAACACAATTTTAATGATATCATCCAGATGTGTCAACAAGGAAGAGCACGCCATGTTTCTACACTGAGTGATGCAAATTCTACACCAATAAATCCAGAATACCTTCTCCCATATGTGGTCCATGCTCTTTCTCATCATTCTTCATTTCCGGATGTTGATGAATGCAAAGATGTCAAAGCATTTGAAGTTATTTACAGGTATTCTAGATTGGCACTTACCTTTTTCAACAGCATTGAGTATCCAATGGAGCTACTAGATTTTATATGCACCTTGTAATTAAAAGTTCCAATTCTTGCTGTCTTGAGATTAATTTAAATCTTGGTACAGTGTTTTGGAAGCTAATACTTGCTTAAATATCTCCTCTTTTGGCTTGCGTACAATTGGATTTGACGCTCTGCATTCATCATCCCCTCTTTAAACCTCCAGTTTTGAATTCACCATTTTTCATTCATTGAGAGATGTCATTGGAAATATGAGACTATATCCTTTTTTGAATATTATGTATAACAATCCTTGAAAGTTGTATTTCCTGTATCCTTAGAATTGGGGGAGAATAATCTCAAAAGAACAGTCAGGTGGCATGGGGATATTGCATAAATTTCTCAGATTGACCTGTACGAATAGATAAAACTGTCTTTAATTATAGATTTGTTGAAGCCATCTTTCTGACATCATACAGATGGGACCATGATGCAGTAGCTGAAATGCTAGTCTCTGTAAATTTCCCTTAATGAGGAGTTTTTGACGTTTCTGTAAAACTACTTGATTGAGCCTGAACACTCTTCTACATCCATATCATCATTAAGCTATTGAAATCTATTTTCCTATATGTCAATCCAATTTCAGGCAATTTTATTTGTTCCTGTCTATGCTGGTGCATCGAGATGATGAAGGCAAGTCTGATGTCAGTAATAACAAGGACAGGGAAAGTATTTCGTTACTATATTCGATCTTTTTATGTATCAAGAATTCAGAAGATGCTTACTCTGCAACTAAATCCAAGGTTGTATAATAAGTACTGCTATCCTTTCTTTTCACCTTGTAGCATTATATTTGTTGTGCAATTTCTTTATTTGAATGAGACACATTATTTACTAAAAAAATATTGAGATTAGTTTAGTTTTTGGATGTTTAATTATATTGTATTACAGAACTCATATGCTCTCTGCGACCTTGGCCTGTCAATCATTAAGCGGCTAGCACCAAAGCAAGATGATCTTCAAGACTTGAGTGCTTCAGTGGTCCTACCTTCAGCACTATATAAGCCACTTGATAAGAAAGAAGGAAATGACTCACTGGTATTATGGTCTAACTACTCTTGTATTAAAAATTCTGATTTGTCTTTCTGAATTCATGCCTGGCAAGAGGACGGATTTTTTTATCTCCCTAATTGAATGTTCAAATATAAGTTTTTGCACTTGTGACTATTTGACATCCCAGTTCTTTCTATCTTTGTGCTTGTTTGGTAAAGCTATTTTTGCTAAAAAGCTGGTCAAATTAGTTAAAATTCATTTTTAACCACACATTTCGGTTCATCCACAACTTTTATCCACTTTTTAACCTCACATTTCATGAACCTACCAACTTTTATCAACTTTAGTTGCTAAAAATCTACATCAAGCAGGCAATAAATATTATTGTCTGCAGCTCTTTGGAGGTCTGCAGGGAAATACTCAATTAACTTTATTTTTTGACGTGTGCTTCATTTTTTATTCTTAGCATTTCTTTGTTCCTTGCATTTTGCTAACTTTTGTCCAAACCGATGTCTAAAAACCCGGGGTGCTGAACTGCATATATTTTACCAATACCTCCTTCAACTGTAAAGCTTTGAATTTGAATGCTTGCAGCTATTAAAATTACCCGCCAGTGTAAGACTACTACAGATATCAATTCTATCTGCTACCATGCCGTATATAATCTTATCTCTTAGGTTATATGCTCGAGCTCAGTATTTGCTACATTCACCATCAAAATAGAGAAGTTAGAATCTTATTGAAGCCATTCTTATTTTAACTAGTGAAACCATCCAGGTTACATTTAAGAAATTTATACTGGAAAACTTAACTTGTCTTTGAATGCAAACAAATGCAAAGATCTGCAAATATCATGAAATGGAAAATTATTATTCTAAAAAGACCCCGACACCGAATCATATCACCCTCCACTCGAGAGAGAGAAGGGGGGGGGGGGGGGGGGTGGGTAATGATATTCGGTATAATAAGTTTTTTTTTTTTTTGGCAATTGGAACAAATTCTAGACTCAATGGTAGAAAAATTATCACTTTAATGGACAATTTTCATAAAAAAAGAAGCAAAATGGACACCAAACTTTCAACATTCTCCAGATGAAAAATTATACCAATTAAACATAATTAATTACAATTCACAGCAAAACAATTTCTAGGTAATTCAATTCCCTGTAAAACATTTTCTTTCCACTCATTTTCCACATTTGCTATCAAACGGACCTTAAGTGTTTTGTTCTAGGGGTGTTTAAGTCGTTGTATTTGGTGCAGCAACCCGGGGGGGGGGGGGGGGGGGGGTTGGAGGGCAGTAATTTCCATAGAATTTTCCTACTTCTTTGAAGTTCTTTGATATTCCTGTTCAATGAATGATTGGTGGTTCATTTTATTTCATCAGACTTAAGAAGTATAACCTGATGATGATATCTATATCTATTACTTAAGAGGCGTGGTCTATTTATATCTTTACTAGGTTGGTGAAGGGAAGACTTGGCTGGCTGATGAGAGTATCTTGGCGCACTTTGAATCACTTAAGTTGGAAGCTAATGGAATGGTAAGATTTCAAATATGATTCTGCTTAATAGAGAATTGGTTTTTCATTGTGATTTGTACTTTCTGACTAGATTAATTTGTGCTCTTTTGTTAACTTCAGATCAATTCAGAAATTGTAGAGGATGATGCCATGAAGGACAGTGAAACAGAGGGAAGCGAGATGCCTTTGGGAAAGTTGATGAAACGTCTAAAAGCTAAGGCATCAAAGGCAAAAAAAGAGGTGGAGAGCAAGTCTGCACCAGCAGAAGTGGATAATGAAAATAATGTTGATATTTTGAAAGTGGTGAAGGAAATAAATATGGATAACTTGGGAATAACTAGCAAGCTCAAGTCAAGCAATGGAAATGAGTATGTTCATAAGAAAAGGAGAAGTGATCATAAGCCTCAGAAGAGGAAGATGATGTTTAGTGAATCAACTAATGTTCCTGTACCAAAACGTAAGAGATCATCGTCTACCCAAGGGCACAAGTCTCTTCCGACGATTTCTCCAAAGGGTTTTATGACTCCAACCAATTTAAATCGAGAGAAACTCTCGGTCGACTCTACCAAAATGGGCAAGGAGCTTCAAACTGGTCCAGGGGATAAATATATGCAAGAAAATAATATCAAACCTGCAAGGTCAGACTTGGTGGTTTCATCTATGGAGAAGAAATCCAGCTCCTCAAAACAGAAAGGCAAGCATTTTGATGGAGTTTATGGTGAGGGAGATGATGAATCAAACCATAAAGCCAAGGTATACTTCTCCATTGATAATACATGTTTCGTGATGATTGTATTAGTTTTTCACTTTCCTTTTCAAATGCTACAGAAGCCTAAGAAAATTGGGTTGACAGTTACCACATCCTCGATCAGTAATTCCAAATCGGGATCGACGAAGAATAAAAAACAGAAAAGTATTACTGGGTTAGCAAAGGTTAGCGGGTCCTATCTTTTCTGCAACTTGTGAAATGGTTTGTGCATGAGAATACTAACTTTGCATGTTAAATTGCATAGGCTAATGTTCTATTGATTTTTATGTTGCCTCCAAAACTGTGCTTATTGAAGTAGCAAAAATCTCTTTGTATACACTGTAACATGTATGCATATCTTAGAATCATGGTTAACCAACAAAATAGAAGGCATACTCTCTCATACGAGGCATCGAGCTATCTCGTAGTTCATGCCATTGTTCTAATGCTATGAAACTAAAGGCCAATAAGGAGTCTCCATTTATTTGCTTCCACGACATATTTCATAACTGTCACTCAATGCTGCTGCTATTTTGTTTCTTCTTTAGTGCTCTGTGAAGGACAATGAAAGTTCTACGGCTGACTTGATTGGTTGCAGAATAAAAGTTTGGTGGCCAATGGATAAGAAGTAAGTGCTTCTTGATTTAGTCAGAGAACTATTTTCTTGATGTTAGTATTGCTACTAATAGAAAAAAAGATGAAAGTTAATGTTTTTTGCGTGTATAATATCACTCTCCTGATATTGCACTTCTGTAATTGTCCCCTAAAGTCATTCCTTCAAATCTTTCTATGAAATTTTGGATCTCGGAATGGTTTTACTATCAGGCCCATCAAATATTCCCTTCTCTCCAGTGAATGGATAAATAAAAATAAAAATTTGTCTTTTCCCTTCTCGTATTCTTTTTGTTCCTTTTCTTGGTCAGTTGATGGGGGCCATAATGGTGCATATATCGCAACTGCAGTCGTCATGCTTCAGTGAACCTTAACTAGACCATGTCCTTGGTGATCATGGAAATTAACTTCTATGTTATAAGATCACCTCCTTAAATGCTGCTGTTCTGGATTTTTACATTAATAGAAAACCATTTTCTTTGATTACTAATAAGATTTCTGTAACTATAGATAAATATATAATATTGTACTTAACCTCCTTGCTTCTTGATTTTGTGGAAAGATATATAATTGAAGTTTTAACTGCCCAACTCTACAGGTTCTATGAAGGTGTCGTGAAGTCTTTTGACACTCAGAAAATGAAGCATGTGGTAAGCTACAAATTGCTTACGTTCTATGTAATCGTTACAGAATTGTTAACCCATATTCTTATAATTAAGCTCCATATTGACTGTAGAGTAATTTGTTTAATTAATGTTTTGAAGATATTATATGATGATGGAGATGTGGAAGTTCTTCGATTAGATAAGGAGCGGTGGGAACTTGTTGAGAATGGCCAAAAAACTGAGAAGGTACGACTATTAAGTCCCGTTATCTTGTTTCCCTATCAGAAATGTGTTTGCTTTATGTTTTTGGTCAAGCTGAGATTATGACATGAGACCTAACAAGGTTTTGAACACCATTTGCAGCGGTCAGTTTCGTCAAAGGGTCTCAGTCCTGAAATAGGGTAAGTGCTGCTGTCCTTCTAACTGCAGAGTAAAAATTGTGCCCTTGAGCAAACTGGTGAAAAATTTGAAAATATTGCACCCTTAAGCAAGTGAAAGAACTTAATTCTTTTGCTGGCCTACAAACACGTTTTCTGTTATTTAAAGCAGCATTCTGTAACAGCATATCAAGTTTTGTCAGCATGCATGTTTGCTACCGTGTTTATTAAGTCTATATATTTGCCAGTACTGACATATGTTTAGCTAGACATGGTGTAGTCTTCACTAGATTTTGGGAAATAAAGAGAACAGGAGAATCAAAGGCCAAAATATTATAAAAATGTAGAAATTTTGTAGTGAGATATAATACATTTGAAGCACTGGCTTGGATGTGCATGTTGTCATTTAATATGGAAAAAGTAAAGGTAACCAGCTCCCATATAGGTGGTAGCATTCTGAAGAAATAGAAAATCAGTTGCTCTAAATTTTAATAGCTTGTGTTTGAGGAGCAGTAATTCAAAGTGCCCTGCTCTGGAGCTGTAGCTATGCCTACCATCTATTGTTGGCATTATGATAAATTAAAGGCCCCTTTAATTTCCCTTCATTTTTTGAATTTGGTATCTTCAAGCGCATTTCTGCCTGATATCCTTGTGCTGTAGACAATGTTTATAGTAAATATTAATTTTATTTGCTGGAATTCAACCTTTGCTCAGCAGGCTCGCCATTGCCGGACAATGCAAACAATCCCATCCACCTTTTATTTCTTCTCCGTGTGATGTGGCCCTGATTTATTTACAGGAACAGTTATCATGCCAACTATATATGTAGGCCACAGAAACATAGTATAGGTTGCTGAAGACGGGCGATTAAACAGATTTACTTGCCTAAACTTGATATATCCAGTAATGAAGTGTTTTCAATCTATAAAACTTCTAGTAACTCCTAAAATTTCTGGATGCATTTTCAATAATGTTATTTGGAGCTTAGCCCTTGTTTGATCACCATTTTTTTCAAACTAAATTTTTTTCTTTCCTCCTTTCGACCACACATTCTTCAATAAAATAATATTAAATGCAGCCCAAAAACTTTTCGTTCGTTTTTAACCACACATTCTCCATCAATCTACTATTCCAAAATGTATTCTACATCAAAAATAGGGCTCACACAGGCCCGTAACGTTGTCGAGAGCAAGGTTTCACTGTCCAATATTTGCTTCAAAAGCTATTTAATAGACATCTGCCCTTCTCTTCAACCCAGTTACCTGACGGTCTAATGTTAACATGTCTTGAAAACTCAATGTTTCCAAAGCATGGTCTCTCCCCTATAGCTATGGCAAAAGGGAACTACAAATACTTTTGTACAGATATCCATTTATTGTATTTCTGTGCTTGACTTTTTGTAACTGTCATTGCTGTTGCAAAATGATATAAAGCTGATTGGAAAATTTCTCATTTGTCTACTCTGTAGGTCATCTGAGAGAAAAAGGAAGTCAACAGGAGGCTCAAAGCAAAAGAAAAAATTGTCAGAAATGTAAGACATCCGTTTCTATTTTGTTGACTTGAAATATTTTTTTCTTACGGTTTTTCATTAGCTTATGTACTTGAATGACTGACAGATCTCCATCGCCCCAAGTAAAAAGGAAAAGAACTCCAAGGGAAAATTTGAAACAGAGACAAAAGGGTCCATTAAGGAGTGAATCCATGAGTGGAAGGGTTGGAAGTCTTGGTGTTGCCTTGGCTGAATCTGCCTCAATGTCCATTGACTCAGGTAAAGGGTCACACTGTTTGACATTTGGTTTTTTAATTGATCAAAATTATTCTCATCCATGATAATTGAATGGTTCTAGAACAAAAAAGTTGGAATCCTCGTGTGTGGTAAAAGTACATGTGGAGTTTCTGTGTTCATTTTCTCTGGCACAGTTTTTTTCTTCTCAAAATAGGCAACATTGTCACTTTTGACACATTTTGTTCAATTTCATAATTGCAAAATTCGATTTGTGAAATATATGGCTGATAATACTGCACAACACTGAAAATTTAATGAAGACTGGAACCATACACACAGTCACAATCTTCCCTACTCAATCTACTCGCTCTATCACAATTTTTTATTTTTACTTTTTTTGTGGTTTCTTCTCCCATTTAGAGTTGAACTGTGAACAATATTTCTTGCTCCACATGAAGCGTAATTGTTTGAGAATGGATCGTATGTTAATTGTTATGTTTTCACTTTTTTTACCATATCAATTCACTAAGAGTTAATGGCCTGCCTTGATTCATCGTTGTTTGCTAACAATTCAGAGCCGGAGCAGAATGAAAGGATTGAAAAGAGTTCGGCTGATGTGGACCAATCGGACAATGATGAGAAACTAACGGAAAGTGCCGAGAAGGGCTCGAGTGATGCAGGAGAGTCCAAGGATGAAGAAACTCATTCTGAAGGAATATATGGATCTGATAACGGAGGAGTTTCTTCTTCAGACAAGCAGCAGCCACATGGGACCAGGGAAGAACATGGACAAGAGGCTGAAAAAGTTGATCACTCAACAGCTTCAGATAAACCTGAGAAGAAGATTCCAGCTTCTAGTTCCATGGACCCAGAACTTTCAGACGATGAGCCTCTTGTACTTCACTTGAGCTGTGCATTTGATGTATAATTACGTTATCTTCATTTGACATATAAATTTCTGCATTCTAATACAATTTTTTTGTCAAATGCAGAATGTGTGGAAGCAGCGAGTTGGAAAATAAGGCAATCGCAAATAGTTCCATATACTAAGCTGCTGCATTGGTGGTCACAGTGCAACATGCCAAAATCACAGACTTTTAGCTGACTCTGAACTAAATTGTAGCACCCAATAGAAGTGTTGTAGCATATAAGGGAAAAAAATATGGATTCTAACAGTTGGAAAGGAGTGCATATTTCGTTAGATGTAGCGATTGAAACTCCATATCTGTACGCCTTAAGAGTTTATGTACAGCCATAATTTGTGTCGAACACTAGTTGGGTCATCTCCGTAGCCTAGCTTCGTCGTGTGTACATTTAGAACTCATAAAGTTAAGATTATGTGTACACTTAATCCTTCCTATTCGGCGTCAGTGTTCCAAACGCGCCGTGTTAGTATATTTTGGTACTGTAATTTGAATCATTTTGCTTTTGGGTTATGTAACATTAGGAATCTCGTACTTCAGTCGTAAATTGTTTAACGTTTAGATATTGAAATGATTCTTGATTAGAATTATTGACTTTCAGTGTGTAATTCTTGATTAGTGCTTGTTTGGTAAATTTTTTGTTTGTTAAAAGCTGATCAAATTTCATTTTTAACCATAAGTTTTAATTTTTATTTACTTTTTCACAACATATATCATGGGATCTATCGGTTTATTCGACATTTCACAACATCACACGAACGTTGAATCGGGTAAAATAAACCAAAATAATCAACATATTTCTTCATTTACCTCGATTCTTTTAGTACAAGAGCAAGTACTTAGTTTCTTTTTGAATCTCGCTTGTTTTTTTTTTAAAAAAAAACTCATTTTCAGTAATGTATTTTATTGGATCTACAATTTTTTAACTATATATTTTATTAATCTTTATTAAAATTTGCTAAAAAATTAATTTTTAATTAAATCAATTGGGGCTTATTCTTGAAAATGATGTAAGCAATTAATAATTCACTTATTGGAACAGTAGAAGGAACCAGGTCAAACACTATCGTGGTCAAAATCAACAGAATTGGTCCAACTTACTAATATCCAAAATAATAATTTGTCAGAAATTTAAATAAGAATGAAGAATTAAAGACTACGTTTTTTCCTCTTAATTGCGCGTAGGTGAAGTGATCAGATTATAGGACTTGGTCCTCTAGCAACTGACACGTGTCAAAAACACGAAAGCGTATGCTATCCCCAACTCTAACGTTAGCCATGTTTTAAAAACTTATCCAATTACCGTACTAGAAAATTAAAAGGGTCGAGGGTCTAAAGGTTAAACATGCGTCAAATCAGTGATTTTTGAAAAATTAAAAAATATACATATACATAAGTTGAACCAGCTAAACAGGGAACGAGTCATCGATTTTTCAAAAACATGCTGGTTTAACGGTTTTTGGGGCAAATTTTTATTTAGAGGTTTTAGAAGTCTAACCGGACCGATTTTGGTCTCGATTCTTGAGTTTTTCGATTGAATGTTAGCGTCAAAACCTACATACACCCATGAAATTATTTATCCCACCAAATACCATGGTTGTACTTATGTGGGGGCCTTACACTCCGCTCTTCAAAGTTTAATAAAAAATCAATAAAAATTACAGATAATTTTTATGAGTTATTCTGAAACGTGTAGGTGCGATGATACCAATTACTAACTCATCGAATCCATTAGAACCTCAAACTCAAGTGTCGTGTTCGATAACGATGCTATGAGGAGTGACTTTTAGAAAAAAGTGATAAGTTCACAAGTGTAAAAATTTGAATTAAATTCAAGTTCATGTCATTCTAGAATGATAAAGAGTTATAAAATAGGCAACTTAGTTTTCAAACACAATAAGAGCGTTGTAAAGTAATAGATGAAAGTGGAATAAAGGAAAGAGGAATTAGTCAAAAGAACAAAAATGAAAACAAAGAAGAATTAAGATGTTTGCATATTTGGCTATAAAAAAAAAAATTAATTATAAATTTACTTATAAAACTAAGTAAGATTTAAGAACGTGTTCTTGAAGCAGTTAAATTAAAATTTACGTACCTAAAAATTGCGAATTCTATGAAATGTATGAAAAGAAAAAAAAGTATATTTCAGAAGTGTATAATCACTTTACAAACATGTACTGAAACAAATATTTTTTTCATTACAAAGGTATAACTAAGGAATTACACTTGTTTGAAAATTGCTTTTAGAATATTGATTAAATTATAATTTAAACAACAATCCATGTAATTTACGGTTTACAAATGAATAGTAATTTTGAGTCATACAAAATATGTGAATAAAAATGTATGTTTGATAAGAGAGTGTTCGCGAAATAGAAATGAATAATTGATAACTGAGTCAAATTTGTGAATTTTAAGAAACGTGTAAATCAAAAATGATTTGATTATGTTCTTTCTTTGTACTGAATTAGAAATTAAAATTCTTTATTCGCTACCAGTTCTTTGAATTACCTGAGAGTTGCTGCCACGTCAATCTTACTTATCTATAAATATATATTCTGTATTTTTTTGTAGCACTTTAACAAAGAACAGCAAACTGAATTGAGAGCTCTTCGATAAAGAAGAGCATTTTAACTTGGAATCCCTTTTCCTGTCAGCGTATCGGTTAGTGTTTTCTGCCTCTGTTCTTCTTTTCTTGGGGCAGCCCTCTTGTCCCAATTTGTCTTTTGATCCATTTTCTTTTGTTATGATATTTCCTGTCGGGGTTTAATTTATATGTGTTTTTGGATGAATTTTAAATATTCGGTGAAAAGTGGGTTGCGTTTCTTTTTTCAAGAATTTTCTGCTCAATGGAGTAATTATAGAAATGATTAATTGAATAATATATATTTGATGTTTTACCCTATGTTCTGCTAAATGTTGCAGAATGTAAATGCCCACTTTCATTCGAAATTGATTTGACCATATTGTTGTTAGATCAACAGCTACTGAGTTTCTATGGAAAATTATATCTGTTGTTAATGAATTCATCTATACCTTTTGCTGTAATTCTAGTACTTGGTGTATTGTGTTGTTGGATTGCAATTTAGCAAGTTTTAAGAAATACGATCTTCAGAATTATTTCAAAAGTCGAAAAGGATTATACTTTTTTTTGCTTGAAATCTGTGTTCTTCAAATCTTGATGTTTCTGTAAAATGCAGTTGTGGCATTCCTACTAAGTTATTTTCTAGCACTGGGATATGGAAGAAGAATTGGGACAGATCAAAGTGACTGTTATACGAGGAAACAGATTGGTGATCCGCGACTTCAAGACCAGTGACCCCTATGTTATCCTCAAGCTTGGGAACCAGGTTGGCATATTTTCATGTTCTGTATGATGTTTTTCGTTGGATTTACCAGTATCATCATTTAGTTACTTTTAAAATTCGTTGATTGCTCTCCATGCTTTATGGTTATGGCTGCTTTGTTATTGTAAGCGCAGTGCGTGAAACACTATTAACACAATGACCCACTCACACCCTCCCCAGTACTCCTCCACCCGCAGTAGGATCTCTATCCAATTTTTCTTTCCCTGCATATGTTGGTTTGGCACAAACTAATCGAAAAACATAAAAGATACGTCCCTTTTAGAGACTAGTGCAAAGGGATGGCTAAATCTGCACATCTGTATATATGAGGGGATCTCAACTCTATGAATTTCTTTGTCATTGTATGATGCTATCTAGCTATATTCGACGGGCTTCTTAGATTTCATTCAATTTGTAAACCACCATGTTTTATAAATTTTGTTTCGTCTCCAGACAGCAAAGACCAAGGTTATAAACAGCTGCCTTAATCCTACCTGGAATCAAGAATTTAGTTTCTCCCTTTCAGAACCTGTTGGGGTTCTCAAATTGGTACGTTTCTTCAATCAACAATCCAGCTACTGCACAATCTTATTTTTTGCTGGAAGAATGCTCTAAACCGTCATCTATAGTTCTAAATATTTTCACTTGCTAGAACTTTTGTCCCGATTTCATAATTTTTAACTTCCCAATCCCTGACCTTCCTATACATGTGTTCAAGAGTCTTAAAAGATAGCATCCTATTATCTCAGAAAACTGAATTTTAGTAGGAATAAACACTTTTTTACTGTAAAAGGAGCTTGAAATGGTTCCATTGATATACAAGCAACTTTTACTTGTCAAAGTAAAGAAACTGTAAAATGAGACAATAGAATAGGAATTAGTTATCGGATCCTCATTTCTATTACGAGGTCATAAAGTCGTAGATCATCATGAGAAATAGGATCACTAATGAGAAATTTCCTGCAAGAGTGATTATATAGCCGCTTGCTTTTAGATATGTACAGGGTCATTTTTATGAATTTGGTACTGTAATTTTATAGGAAGTGTTTGATAAAGACCGTTTCAAGGCTGATGACAAGATGGGACATGCTCATATCAACCTTCAACCACTAGCTGCAGCTGCCAGATTGAGACAGATCCTCGGTGATGCAACTAATGGAACGACACTGAGGAAGGTGATACCAGAAAGCGACAATTGTCTAGCTGCTGATAGTTCTATAAATTGGGAAAACGGTGAGGTGGTTCAAAATGTCTGGTTGAGGCTTTGTGATGTGGAGTCTGGGGAAATAGAATTGAAGATCAAATTGATCAAGCTTCCTCCTGTTTCTCCCCCAAAATAAAGTGGATTTGCTTATAGAATCAAGGATTCTCCCAAAGTATGTAGAGAATCTTTATAACCTGAAAATTAGCCCTGTAAGTAGTTGTATTATGATTGTTGAAGGCTCAGGGTTTGAATGAGATAAAATTTAAACCCAAGGTTTGTAGGTTGTATTGCTATCGTGTCATGTAAAATTGCAGTAAACTCCAGAAAAGTTGGAGATGGCACAAAGATTGGAACTGTTGTGGAACTATTATTAGAAATAAGTTGGATTTATTTTAAATTTAATATTTAAAAACCGCCTAACGGGAGAGTGTGAAATTTGGGAGAAAAATAGGCATTTGCTCAAATATTTTGTCCAATGGTTGGGAGAAAAGTAAGGGAAGTTCTATTTTTTTTTTTTCCCAAAAGCAATGATCCAATACAAGACCCGTTATTTTATGTATGGTTGCAAAACATCTGAATTTTACCTTCAATGTAAGAATACTAATCATCTGCAAAACACACAGTTTCGGAATTTTTACATCCAAAAAACTAAAGGGTTATCAGAGAAAAATGAGTAATGATTCAATATCACCGTATTTTTCTGCTAAATCAAACATTTGATGGTTGGCGGTCGAAAAGTCTAAGCCTTGTTTTTATCGAATAGAAAGAAACCATTTTAAGGTACACTGTTATTTCATGGACGTAATATGATTTCTTGAAAGCATGTATTGGATTTGTTTTTTCTTCTAATTTGGCCATGCCTTGTGTTTGCTTTTTATTTGCATGCATTTCATTTCGGTTTTTGGAGTTGAAAATAAGTACAGATTTGACTATATGCAGGATCGATCTTTAGATTCTAGGGATCTTAGGCCAATTTTATAATGGTCTTTACATATGTAGGGTCCTCACTTATGTGGGACCTTTGGCAACGGCCTATGCCACCTATAGTCGAGGCCGACCCTGCGCATGTAGGTTTGATGAATTCGTAAAATGAACATTTTGCCGAAGGGAAGAGTGGCTTTATCTCCTCTGTATTTTGCAAGTCCCTCCATTTCTGCTTTTCAGGGTCACCATTTTCTCTCACAGTTTGATGAACATCTTGCACATGAATTTGATAAGAAACTGAAACCCTATTCTGAAAAAGGCCAGAATATAATGGAAGGTTAAGGGTGGACGTTTTAATGGTCTTGCAGGTTGTGGAGGAAACTGCACAATGTTCGGTTTCAGTGTAAGAACAGGTCAGAATGGCTCTGGTTCTCCGAGGTCTGTAGGTTCTCCAGGCTCCGTTAGTTCTCCGACATCTAAAGGAACTCCTAGGTCGACAAGTTCTCCTAAACAAGATGTTGGAGAGATTGACACTCGGGCACCATTTCAATCTGTCAAGGCTGCTGTAAGTTTATTTGGTGAAGCTGGAGCCTCGCCCAGAACGTCTGCAGTAAAGAAGACACAAACTCCGGAAGAGGTAGAATGCATTAGTTCTTTATTACTCAATGCAATTGTCTAAAACTCGTTGTCACTTTTCCGTTGCAGAGAGTGCTAGAGAAAGAGACGCAACATCACTTAACGCTTAAAGAACTCGAGTATTACAGGGAACAACTTAGAAGCGCAGACATTGCAAAGGCTCAAGCATTACGCGATTTGAAGAAGGCCAATAGAACCCTGCAAGAACTAACAAACAAGCTTGAAAACCTTAGTGAATCCAAACAAGCAGCATTTGAAGCTACAGAAGCTGCGAATAAACGAGCTAAAGAACTTGAAGAGCAGAAATCAATAAGAGCTCAACTAGGTGATGATGCATGGAGGGTGGATGTTAACAGTGAAAGAGAACTGTATAAGGCCTCTGCCGGTGAACTTATTTCTACAAAACAAGAACTAACAAATCTCAGGCAGGATTTTGATGCAGCCTTGGAAGCAAAATTGGCTGCATTTCAAGAAGAAGAAGAAGCACAACACACCACTAAAGTTAATCAAGAGAGGTTAAGTCAGCTTTCAAAAGAAGTTTCCTCCTTGCGTGAAACACTTGGTCAAGTAAAGCTTGCCTCGATCCAGGCTCAAGAACAACATTTGAAGCTTATTGCAGAAAAGGAAGTCCGTCTATTAAACCATAAAACGGCTAAGGAAGAAGTTGACAAGAAAATCATGGGTATGAAGGCAGAATATGATCCTGAACTTGGTGAAAATCTTGAGCAGAAGCTCGAAGAAACAACAGAGGCAATCAAGGTTTTGCAAGAACAACTGAATGATGTAAAGGCTTCAGATTTGACTTCTTTAAGAACTACAGCTTCAGAGCTTGATGATGTTAAAAGGACACTGCAAGAAGTTGTAGCAGAAGAAAATCCATTACGAAGTTCAGTGGAATTACTTAAACTGGAACTGGAGAATGTGAAGAGGGAGCGTTCAGAATCAAAGAAGAAGGCTATCGAAGCAGAATCTGCTGCTGAGAGTATGCAAACTGATCTTGCAAAGAGCAAAACTGAACTGGAAGCGGTAATTTCAGGGGAAACCAAATCTGATGATATACATTTGGCTCTCGAGCAGCAATTGACCGAAGCTGAAAATGCTCGACTGGAAGCAGAAGAAATGAAGAAAAAAGCTGAAGTACTTGAGCAAGAAGCTGAAGAAGCACGAATTGTAACCAATGAAACAGAGAAAAAACTGCAAATTGCATTAAAAGAGGCTGAAAAGGCTATGGCTGCAGAGAGACTAGCGGATGATCAAATTTACAACTCACCAAAACCTGATTCAAGTGGAGGATCTGGTCGGAGGATCAAATTGTCGGTAGAGGAATTTGAATCACTGAAGAAGAAAATTGAAGAAATCGGGCATGAGGCAGATGTTAAAGTGGCAACTGCCATGGCTCAAGTGGAAGCTATAAATGCAAGTGAAAAAGAATGGCTAAAGAAAGTGGAGACAACTTTAGAAGAGAGTGAGGATCTACAGTCAGAAATTGAGGATGCTATAAAGAGAGCAGAAATGGCGGAAGCTGCAAAAAAGGTAGTGGAGGGTGAACTCCAAAAGTGGCGCCAAAAAGAACAGAATGAAATTGGAGAATCTTAGAGCTCGTTTGGTTTGTGTTTTAGCTTTCAGTTGAGCTTTGAATTTATTTTTAGTTTTCTATTTCGAGGGTCAGTTTTACGATCGTTAAAAACGCGTTTGGTTTGTCGTTTTGAAAAATTATTTCTCAAAACGGAAAATCAGAAAAGACGTTTGATTTGAAATTTTGAAAAATTATATTATGACATTTTATTTCATTATATTTGATTAATCGGTAAAAATAACAACAATTTTATGTTAATATATTATCAATTAATATATACATTTGAAAGTTGGTGAATCTTAAAATATTTTTTCTCACTACAAAAGTAAAATAAAAATAAATAATAAATTAAGCTCAAAATGTTGGAAATAAAAATAAAAAATAATGATGTGAACTGATAATATTTTTCTGTGTGTTCATTTAAATATTTTTTTAGAATTTTATATAAATAATCATTGAGAGTTTGAAATATTTTTATTTTTTATTTTTCATAATTTCAATTTTCTAGAATTTTTTACAGATTTATTTTTTTCAAAATTTATATTTTATATTTTTTGAATTATAGAGTTTTTTTTTTTCAGAATTTTTATTTTTTAAAAAAAATTATTTTTGAAATTTTATTTAAACGCTTGTTTTCCATACTGAAACATTCAAAACGTCAAAAATGTGTTTTGAATTTTATGTTATAATTTTAAGCTTGTTTTCGGAAATGTATTTTCAGAAATACTATACCAAACACGCTTTTGACGTTCTGCAAAATTGAAAACTAAAAACAACAAATCAAATGCACCCTTAAATTTCTCAAGAGACAAAATGTGAACATTCTATGAATTTGAAGCAAACCAGTATATCAAGATCAGATCCTTCCAGTAAAGAATGATTTTTTTATTTTATTCAATGTTTGGAATAGATTAATAGTTTAACTGAAAAGAAAAACAGGACTAGTATCCACTATCCATCGTGAACTCCAGACATAACCAGAATGAGATGTTTACAATCATTTAAATATTTCACAAAACAGATTTAGCGAACGTGTAAATTACAGACATCATAAGTGGCAGTTCACCCACAAAAGATCTATATGAGCTATTACTGAATATGCTTAAACTAGATTACTATAATGGTTAGTGTTAAGAACAAGAGATCTGTGTTGGATGTGATTAAGCACCTATCAAAACAAGATGAATCGAACTTCTAGGACTTACCATTGTCGATTTTCAGGTCCTCCAATGATTCAGGACATCCACCAAGATCCTTAAATTTCTCTAGTTCAGATTCTAGAGTCTTTGCAATCTCTGCTCCTTCAACAGCATCCTCAGGCAAAGCCACGTGCAAGGATCCCTGTTTTATCGGCTTGACAGGTTCACGAATCAGGGATTGCTGCTTAATGTAATTGTAAACTTCTTGGTGAAAGGGGTGGTCCAAGGAATAGTAATTGTCAATATAGATGTCTGAATGTTCAGAACAGCCAGAACTTCTTTTACGGCAGAAATGTGGAAGGGATGAATAATCCATTATCTGCACCAAACATGCAAACAACGATAAAAGATCTTGCCAAAAGATGGTTATAGACCTCACAGTTGTAAACATGCAAAAGTGGAGAAAAGTAGCATGTGGCAGAAGGTTTTCCTAGAGGGACTGTAACATGAGCTTGTTCCTTAATATGTAGTCGTCCTAGGAGCATATATGGTACGCAATAATGAACAAGACTAGACAACATAATGTCGAAGACTTTAGCTTCTTTTTCCTTTTCAGTAATGTCCAATGCTATTTATTCATCTGTACCAAATATGCCAAAATGGTTCTGATTCCAGACATCAACTATATCTACAAATTATAAGAAAGCACTACCTTCAATAGATCATCCTGTCCACAACCAGATAATACAATGATTTTCCCTTTTGTCCTCTCCTGAAGAAGGGGCTTGACAACCTGATAACAGCTCAGATGTATAGTTTACAAATGATAGTTTACAAATGAACAAGCGTATTTAAGTTTCTTAAAATAAAAATTAAACCTACATTTACATCTAACAGAATTTGAAAAGATAACTATAAGTGAAAAACTTTGTGCTGCATTGTGAAAATCAAATATTTGAACACAGATAAAGACAACAACGAGGGACAAACCTTCCAACAAGCAGAAAAGATATACGGGGCGTTGACAATATAATAAGTAACTGTTTTCTCTGGGTAGTTTAGGTCATCGATGGAAGACATAATGGTCAAGATCTGTAACAAAAAGGAAAATGGCATCAAAGTTTAAAAACATAACTTTATCATGAAACGCAGAACGAGGGAAAGGAGAAATCATAGGCAGGAAGCTATAGAACAACTTGTCAATATACCTTTATTTGGCTTAATGCTGAAAGCTTCAGGCCAGTCATGTCTAGAATCTTTATACATTTGCTGATGTGCTTACCATACTTTTTAGTTGCAGCAGGCTACAAAAAATCAATTATGAGTATGAAAATGAAAATGAAAATGAAAATGGACATAAAAGGAAAAGGTCAAAAAGAATAGCAAGTATGTGCTCACGAAAATGACACGATCCCGATATTCATTGATCTGAATGTACGATTGTACATAATAATGAACCTGAAAACAAAGAAAAAAAATTGAAGACAAGGACGATGTTGAAGTGATGTTAAGCAATAAAAACATAGAAGGATTTAATTTGCATGTGAAAAAGGTCAAGAGTTATGAGGGAAAGATGGGCAATGAAAAGATCTGTATTTCCTTCCAACACCAAAATTTTGAACTAACTGATCACTTCAATCATGCCTTCTCCAACAAAAATAAAAAATTATTATTTATTTTTCAGTTAAGTCTTCTTGATATTCAATAATTTATTTTTCTCTACAGATACTGTATATAAGAATTTCATTCTCCAGTGTGAATATGTGTCGATATCACGTCTTGTCTGTTTTTGAATTTGTGTTTTATTTCATTTCCCCCATCTATTACAGCGATACAAGATAATGTTCTATTTATATTTCAGTGTTCAATTCATGTGGCACGTGAGAACCTCTCCCTAGTATTGCCTCTCAAAATGGTCGCATCGCACCTGTTGGCCCCTCTCATTATGAATTGGTTCGAGTTAGATGGCAACAATCTTCTCCCCTTATCAGTGGGTGAAAATTTTTTTTATGCATGTCTACATTCATTTGGAGATTAAGAAATACCAAAACTTACAAAAAAACAGTTATATATGGCAGACGTATTAAAGCATTAATTGTAAATGAAAAATAAATTTGGACAAGTTTCCAAATTTTAGTGGATCAACCTGTGTCGAAAAAAAGCAATATGAATACGAAGGTCCTGGCAGCAAAACTGAACTTCAGGGGATTTCGTCTACAGCCATACAAACTTGATACATATTGTAAACATTTTCAGAGTTAAAATTTCTTATGATGCTACATCGTGTGTACATGGGTAAATATATAAATATGAAAAAGAAAATCTGGGGTGAATGCTTCAAAGAAAGAGAATAAAACAATTATCAATAAGCCTTACAGAAGCTTTGTCACAAGTGCTTAGACCTACTCCAACAGCAAAAACGGGGAGACCCTATTTAAAAAAAAGGCACCATTTTTTAGAATGAGTGCATAATTTCGTATCTAAAGAAAGTAAACTATCTCTAACTAGTTGATGAAGTATAACTGAACCTGTTCCAGTAGCTTCAAATGCAGTACGAGCGTATGAAAATATAAATATAAATTGCAGATCAAATTCAATAATGAGAACCTCTTTTGAGTAACCCGATAATCCTATAAGCTGTGAATCACGTATTGCTCGGTAAAGATCGGTGGGAACAATGGGTTTCTGCAACAAGAAATAATGGTAGAATCAGAAAGGAAATATTGGTCTCCTCCTCCTCCTAACACACACAAATACAAAAATGGAAGATAAATTCTCTGCGTGCCTGAGCTCATGCACATTAAATTCTGTTAAGCCTCCAATCCGTTTCACCTATGCTAGAAGGAACAAGAAGAATTGAGAAGCAACTAGAAGGTAGAATAACAGCATTCGGTTAGAGGGTAAGTGCTAGGAAAAATCTGTTAGGAAGAGGGATTATAAATAGAGACAGGAAAGGAAAGAATAGCAGGCAATTAGATTGGGGAAAAGGAGTTTAGTTGTTATTTTCTTATCTGTAATTCTCTGCATTTTCAATCAAAGATCTATTATAAATTCTGTTCTTCGCTTTTCAGTTTGAGTCTTATCAAATTCTTCACACCACTTTCCTAAAATTGCCAATAACACAAAACATGAGCAGATTATCACTCACCGCCAAAATATCTTCAATGTCGTTTTGCACCCGCCACTTCAAACAATCAACCAACTGAAATATCATCACCATCAACATTTCTGTAAATTAGAATTTAGCGAATAACATAATTTCACATAATGAAGACTAATATAGAAACAAGAAAAATCTTTATCTAACCATCTTGTAGGCCTTCATAACATTTCCATCTCTCGCCTTCAGAAAACGAACTAAAGGTTCTCTGGGATATCCTTGATGAACATTCTGAATAGGTAAAAGAACTGATAAGAATTTCCATACTTGTAAGACAGATGTAAATAGATGCTATGTAATGAGAAAAGGAACAAAATTATGACTGCAGGTGGTAAAGTAGATGGCCAAAAGTTAATCCGAAAGGCAAATTTAAACAAAATGATACATACATGTATAGGAGCAGTACAAGGAACCATTGCAACAAGATGAAGCAATGGTATTATTCTTGGATCATTAATGAGCAAAATGATGCTCAACAGATTGCGTATTCGGAAAAAATCCCAAGAAAACACGAAAAAATAGCATATAAACAAAAATCGACTGGGAGCATGAACACAACCAGTTAACACAATGAAAGAGCATAAGTACAATATATAACTTGTTTGCGTATAACTTAAGTCACAAGAATAAAATGAAAGAAGATTTTGAGTATTCTGATCACTGTCAAGAAGCAGATCAGGTAGAGAAAAATACTTAAAAATCAATAAACAAGAAATGAAAGAGAAGGGACAACAATGCAAACCTGAAAAGTTCTCTTGAGTGGTTCATCAACTGAATAAATTTCCGAAAGAAAATCGTCATAAATAGAAACAGAGAGAAATTAAGAAAAGGGTTTGTAAAATAAAGATCAATAAGAGCAGACCTTCCTCCATTAATGCTTCAAATTGATTAATGGCTACATCTGGAACGACACCCATTTCTTCTTCTTCTTCTCTACAGAACGTAAATTTTGCTATTGAAATCACAGCAACACAATAAGAAATTAAGAAAAGGGTTTGTAAAATAAACATCAATAAGAGCATCCCTTCCTCCATTAATGCTTCAAATTGATTAATGGCTTCTTCTGGAACCACACCCATTTCTTCTTCTTCTCAACAGAATGTAAATTTTGCTGTTGAAGAATCAGTAATATTATTCAACTTGTAATTGGATATATTTGATGCATATATATATATAATTGAACTGTTAGTTAGAACAAGAACATCAGCAAGAGCGAGAATGCTAATTAAAGACTCCACTTTTCTTCTAAATAAGAGAAAGTGAAAGCTAAAGAGGTCAAAATTCAAGAAAGGCGACCCCCCCTCCCATCGTTTACCTCAAAACCCCATTTAGAAATATTCTTTAAATTCTTCACATTTTGAATAATTGAAGCAAATAATAGAGAAGTCTTTTGTTGTTTTCTTCGAAAGAAATCAATTCTTTTCTACCTTGTGTAAAAGTTGAACTTGGAGTAGAAGATTTTTACTGTTGTGACTATTTTACACCTATTCATAACGGTCGTTAATGAAAAATACTGTAAGACTTATTCGATCTAATAGAATGATTTTGTCGTATTCAAACTAATACCAATCCAAGCCACGTGTCTAGAGAAGGTAGGGTTAAACCATTCGAACGACGAGAATTTTTAATAGTACCTAACTTTTTACGCATTGATAAATTCCTAAATTAAATTTTTTTACCTACCATCTTGAATAGGTACAAAATATGTACGTGAACAATATTCATTAGTACCTAACGTTTTACGTGATCATAATGTCATGTTTGGTGGGTTGTAATGTTTTCTATATGTTTGACACTAATTTGCATGTCCCCCACTAGTTATTAATTAGGTGAGATGAAATGTTGGTGTGTGAATGAGAGAGCCCTTAATGATCAAAATCGATTAATTCACCTGTTAAATTTTGAGTTTTCATCTTAAAATGTTGACATTATTAAAAGAAATAACTCGAACATTTATATGTTAGTCCACATTTCGATAATTAGATGATGTGGGATTTATTCGTTTACATAGCCGCAAGATGGTGGCTCGTTTGAATAGATCAATCTTAAAATTTGTGTGCTCATTTTTTTAGTTTTAATCGGATCAAATTACTCGTTTGAGTTTAATATGCTCTAATACCTTATTAAAAGTTCAACTATATAAAAGAAGTAATTAATCTAGATTTCGGTAATTAGTCAATGTGGAATTTATTCCTTAATAACACTAATTTTGTGTTTATTAAGCTCTAGTTTGACTTCAAAAAAAAAAAAATTGAATAATATTTTGAGGAGAGAAAAAAATTTTAATAATAAAACAAGAGTTCAGGGGTGACATCAGAATATTTAAAGTTGATCTATAATTGGGCTCAGCAGGGTCTATTTATGGGCCCATTAGAGTGATTGAAACTTGAAAGGAAAAGGAATAGGAACATGCCAAATGCAATCCTTGGGGTGCAACTGTCAGATCACATTCAATTCAGGACCGAAAGTCGCGTTTTGTGGGTCCCCTACCTTCGTAGATCGCATCCAAGCTATTTTGGATTGTCGAGTGATTTATATTTAATAATAATAAATTTAAAAGTACATGAAATAAATATTTTGCATAATTGTTTTTTTTTTTTTTCCGCTTTTCACTTTTTTGTTACCAAATTCCGCTTGGGGGTGAATTGGGTTAAAGAAGACATTTTTTTATTATTAAAATATCATATTCTACTTTTTTATGTCCTTTCCTATTGTGCTTTTTGGATTTGTCTTTTTGTTTATTTAAATTTATGGGAAAGAATGTCTTCTTACGTAAAAAATACGTAAACCTTTCAAAAATAGCACCGGAGGTCCAAATGGATGGTTTGACCGTTAGTTGGTCAAGCAAATTGATTTTGACCAATTTTAGTAAGAGCAAAATTGTAAATTTGCCGGAAAATTGGGCCAAAACAGCATGCTTAAGTCCCCAAAAAAGCCAAAATCTCCAATTCCGGCAACACCTATGTCATGCTCAACATTCCAAGTAATTAATTATACACATCAAGGCGTCCATATCCATGGTCATTAATCATATTTAAATGCACAGAAACAAAACCAGCAAACTACATCTTTGAACATAACCACTGCGCGACTTTCAAATGGCTTTTCCAACACTGGTGGTGGGACCCATGATTGCGGACAACCACCACAAGCACTACTCTTCATGGTGCGACCAATGAACATATGGGTCTACCCCAATTTGACCTGGTTCGAATTTTATGTGCCACTATTTTGCCCTTAACCCTAATGAATATCTCAGTTGAAGAAAAGCTAATCTTTCTTGCATTGACACCAAGAATCGCTACTTTACTGTACAACCAGGATGCCGACAGTGTGCCAGCATCGAGGCAGTGGTAAGAGAAATGTCAGTATGCCTGCGGTGGTAACTTGGCTTTTCTTTTCTTTTTAATTGTTTTAGGTTAAATATGTAAAGTTACCATTTTATCCATACTAAAATTGGTCAAAATCAATTTGCTTGGTCAACTAACGGACAAATGAATGGAAACGGTTTGGATCTCCGATACATATTTGAAAGGTTTGGGACCTCCGTTGGTACAAAATAAATGTTAGGGTAAAGTCTGTAAAAATTGAAAAGTTTTGGGACAACTGCTTCAATTTTCCCTTTTTTTAAACGAGAATTGTCAATAGGGATGACAACCGATAATTTATAAAAAGTCGAGGTCGAAAATGTCAAGACCTAAAAATTAGGGATAGAAGTGCAAAAAGGTGTGAAAGTCGGGTGCAACTGCCATAATGTACCCATTTTCGTGTATTATGTAATTCAATTTTATGAATTTTTTTTTTCCTCATGTTGTGATCTTAACTGGTCATTTCAAACGAGCAATATGACATTGAACTTGTATAATTTTATGAAAAAATTGAAGCAACGGTCCCTAATCTTTTCAATTTTTATATACTTTACGTTAACATTCAATTTATGCTAACGAAAGTCTTTAACCTTTCGGAAATATATAGCAGAAGTCCAAATGAATGGTTTTCATCTAATTGACCGTTAGTTGACCTGAAAAAATGTAAAAAATAAATATTTTGATCATTTTAAGAGAAGACATCTTCGTAAATCTCATGTAAATTAAATAAAAAAAACCAAAAAGAAAAGAAAAACCCTTCCCCTCTCCCTCTCCCTTCCCCGTCCCCATCCCCTACCCCAACCCCCGAACAACCATCTACTCCTCTTTGGTCATTAATTGGATGGAAACAGTCCATTTGGATTTCTGCTACATATTTTTGAAAGATTAAAGATCTTCATTGGCACAAATTGAAGGTTAGTTTAAAGTCTATGAAAATTGAAAAAGTCAAGGACCATTTTTGCATTTCCCTAATTTTATATGTTTTTGAAAAAATTGGCAACATTAGAAAATAATTTGTGCTCAAATATCATTTCTTGTATTAAATATAAAGATGTTTTTACACCTCGCCACCGATGTTCCAATTAAAGACCACATCATAGTTCACGTGGAGATATGAGTCATATCTGACAAAGTCAACGAAAACCCAATTGGTCAAAGTAAAGAAATCAAAGAAGAAGCTGATAATCTCTGTTCCGAAACTCTCTTTGACCGAAGCCCTCACTCTATCTGAAGCTCTCTTTGATTGAAACCCTTACGGCCTTTTAGAAGACCTACATGCAATCTTTAGGAATAATTGATATAACGTTTGTAATAATGAATATGAGGGTGTCATCATAGGATGTAGAGTGGCTAACCAATAGTCAATATATTAAATGCATAGTAGATTGGGTGATGTGAGGTTTCGAATTGGGAGATGAGGTCACATGATTCTTATAGAATGGCTACCACTTCGGCTAGAACTCTATAAATAAGCAATTGTTGTAACATTTGAATTTAATGCAACTTTTGATACTAAAAACCACATTCGAACTTCTCTCTTGGTCATTTCATATTTATGTGCTTGAATTAAGATTATTTCTATTTTAGTTAAGTTGAATGTGATTAATTGATTATATGCAATCATCTTGATCATATTGTCGGCGTTTGAACATTTTTGTCTTTTGTCATAGAGCATCTCCCACATAAATGCCATCATTTTTCTTCTGAATCTCCGGTCAAAACGTGTTGAAATTTGCTCGTGTGGAAGCGACTGAGCTCGACATCTGTTGTCCACATTACCGTTACAAAAAAGGGGATTGACGTAGTCTGCGGGAAACCACACAGTCAACCATGAAAAACCCATGGAGAAAGCTAATAAGGAAATATATTTTTGGAGTTTCTTACCTTTGAAGAAAATAAGTTGTTCTTGAAGAAAGAACCACCAGATATTCCAAGGGGAACCCAAAATGAATATAATTTGCATAGAAGGAACCAAGAAAGTTGCTTTCTAAGAGGACGTTACCATGATTCTAACAATGAAGAATAATTTGTTCACATCCAATATATAAGAGTTCACACATTGTATTGAAAGGTTGTAGTGTTGGCCAGCTCTCTATTAGGATTTGTGATTTGTCCTTATCACAGAAATAGTTAAAAGTGATACTAGTACACTTGGAGTGTATTGAACGGACCACGTGTCGAGTTTAATTTTATAGCATAACCTTGTGGAGAATTAAATTTCACTTGATCGTCGTATATTTCATCTAAATCCCTTGATAGAGTTATGTATATCTTTTTGTGATTCTATTGATTTTTTGATTCATCAATGGGTGAGATCAATTTGATTGATCAAATATCTCGTTGACTTGGGAACTTGAAAATGAGTGAAGTAAAGAACGTGAATTCGCTTCGAGAACCATCACCCTGAAAAAGGGTAGAGTGGCTACTTAAATATTTTATAGTTGAACGGTTAAATTCTAAGCTCAGTATTTAGCGAGAACTAAACTTCGATATTTGTGATTTGTTCACATGATCATTAAAGAAAGTGGTACTAAAAGTTAATGAGATAGTTAGAAGGGCAAAACGATTATTTATGCTCATACCTAATTGTCGAATCTCGAATGGAAATAAAATATGTATACGCTAGGACAGAGGAAAGCATTACAGATTTATTGGCTTATGTGATTTTATATATTTCAACAATCCAGTCTTTTGCTTTTAGTGAAAAAAGA